TTCTGGTCCCGGCTCCCTCATCCTCAGCCCCCATCTCTCCTTTGATCTCTTATGAAATGAAAGGTATTGGAGGCCACACCCATGGGAATCTCCAGTATATCAGATTAGGGTGGTGGCGGGATGTGGCGCTGTGAGCTAATGCAATGCGTCAGACGGCAAGGTCGGTGATTCAAGCTCACCACATGCTCCTTGGAAACCCTCTAAGGGCCACTGTGGGTCGGAACCTACTCAACGGCACTTAACAACAATGATCACCCTCGGAGTCCTGGTGCGGTGCCCTAGGATAAGCGCTTGGCCTCCAGGTCAGTTTGAACCACAGGGTCGCTGGTTCAAACCACTCCTGAGAAACCCTATACAGGATCGCTATGAGTCAGAACCAACCGGATGGCACTTAACAACATCAAATCCCACCCTTAATGGGTGGCACCAAAGGGTAAGCACTCCAAGTTGGTTTGAACCACAAGGTCAGTGGTTTAAATTCACGATCCACTCCTAGGAAATCCTATACAGGGTCGCTACGAGTCAGAACCGATTCAACAGCACTTAACAACACGCATCACCTTTAATGTTCTTATCAGTTTATCACGTGAGCTCACATCAAGGGGGAATCATTCCACAACTAACAAATCACTGCTCCAGCCCAGTTGGCACATATTTTGGAGGGCAGAGTTCAATCCATGACACCATTAACCCTAATCTAGTTTTAAATCTAATTCCAACCCTAACCCTAACTATAACCCCTAAACCCTGAACTGTTTCTAACCCCAACACTAACGTTAGTATGAACCCTAACCCTACGCAAACCATCCAACCTGAACCGGAACCCAATTCTAGCTTTCACTTACTATAACCTTTACCTTGTTGTTGTTGTTGTTAAGTGCCGTTGAGTCGGGTCCGACCCATAGCGACCCTGTACGGGTTTCCGAGGGTGTAAATCTTTATGGGAGTAGAAAGCCTCATCTTTCTCCCGCGGAGCAGCTGGTAGTTTCGAACCACTGACCTTAAGGTTCGCAGCCCGATTCGTAACCACTACGCTACCAGAGCTCCTTAACCTTTACCTTAGCCCAGACATAATTTTAAAGCATTCTTTGTGCTTTCGGTGAATGTTGGCATAGCAGATTGGTCCCCATCCAGCAGTTTCTAAGTGGGACCACCGGCTCCAGGAGGACACCCAGCCAGGGGACGGACCCAGTGGGAATGAACAGGACTACCTGGGGCAGGGGCAGTAGGGACTTGCCTTGACTGTCCCCATTAAAGAGAAAGCTGGGGGAGAGACCACGCCCCGGCACTGGTGCCGGGAGCTTCGCGGGGCCAGCAGCAGCTTAGAAGCAGTCCTTAGAAAGGCCTCACCTGACTTCACCTGAATGGAGGGGCTCAGGAGGCAGGGTCACCCCTTTAGCTGACCTCATTCCCCACCTTCTCCAGCCTCACCCTGGATACGGTACCTTCACGGGGAGGCGCCCCCACGCATTCCCACCTGTGGCCACAAGGTGGCGCACAGAGCAGATCCGTACTGTCTCCTCTGCTGCTCTCCAGCAAATCAAATCAGAAAGGCCCCCAGAGACAGAGGGACCTGCCCAGAAATCCTTTCCATGGCCAGTGTCCAGGAAGAGGAGCCGGGTCTGCCAGGAAACAGACGCCATGGTTCCGTTCCTCCCGGATCTGGCCATGGGTACCCACCCTCAGGGGTGCTGACGGGACGCTCTGGGAGGACTGCCACCAGGGAAGGTCTTCAGATGACATGTGGGGATGGGTATTCCTTGATGAGGTGTGTGGATGGCACTAGAAGACGTGGTGGATAGAGGTGGGGCTCACTCAGCCCTCCTAGACCACACTTGTGTGGGGTCTGAGCAGCCTGCAGAGCTGGGTGAGACTGGACCACAGGACCTCACCAGGAGACCCTGAGCCAGATGGCTGGTACCACAGCATCCACTGACCTTCTCCAGGCTGTGAGCCTCATCGAAGCCCTATGAGAAATCCCCTGGAGCGGACACCGGTGGATGGACGGGGCCTGAGCCAGCACTGCCATGAGGAGCCCCCACCCTGGAGCAGAGCCCTGCCCCCCGTGGAAATCTCTAACACAGAAACCAGTCTTTCCCAACTTGGCCCCTCTGAACTTGCTGTCCAACCTGGCTGGGCTCCTTCCAGGTTCTCATGGACTCCCTGTCTAGGGGTCTGGGCTGTTTACTGGACCCGTCTGCTGGATGGGGACATGGCCAGACGTGAGCCCATGGCACCAGCTCCTTCAACAGCCCACCATGCAGGCTACCCACACACGTTACCTGCTGATGGCTGGAAACATAGAAGCCTGGGCCTGCCACTAACATACCCGCTGGGGGAAGGTGCCCATCTGTTGGAGGCGAGCACTGAGGCACAGTGGCCAACAGTGGAGGAAGTGGTGGGGTGGGGGCATGTTTGGGGGGAGAAAGCTGTGCAGGGAGGCATCAGGCCAGGGGCAGCCCACCCACCCCTTCCAAGCAGGGCCTTCATCAGGGAGCCGGGGTGCAGAGCAGAGTCCAGACACAGGAATGGGGGTCCTCCCTCCCGCCAGCCCTAAGCACCAGAAGGTGGGCACCTGCCCAGATGAGAGGGGCTGCGGATTGGAGGGCTCCGTCTGGGGAGAAGCTGCTGTAGGCGAAAGAATGTGGCCTCCCTCTGGCCCCATGGGAGGGTCACTCAGGATGGGGAGAGCCAAACAGAGGGTGAGCGTCACCGACTGTGTCTAGTCCAGGTGGCTTCGACTTGAAGCCATGTGCTCTGAGTGGACTGGGGACGATTTTTTGAGGGTCTCCTCCGTGTGTGGAGATCCAGGCCTCTGTCCAGCACAGCCAAGGAGAAAGCGAACCTGGGGTGGGGGGCGGGGGGCGCACAGCCACAGAACAACAGCACTAACACACAGGGGCCACACGCTCACATAGGCATGCACAGGTTTATACACCTAGACACGTGCCTGTCCTCTGGCTCAGGGATGGTGCAGGGAAGGACAAGGAGAGCTGTGGGAACCCACAGGGCAGGTTCCCCATTCCTGTGCACCCCACTCCCTGTGCCAAGTCTGGACCCTCCCCTACACCCCGGCTGCCTGATGAGAAACTTGGCCCTTCCCCTGCCTTGCTTATACACAGGGATCGACAGAGATCCACCCGAACACACGCATGCACGCACCCGTGTGCACAGTCACATAGGCACACACAGCCTTATACATATGTATGCTTACAGAGGCACACACCACAATCTGCTGTGTCTGCTCACAGCTTCAGGCGAGACTGGACCTCAGAGCCATCACAGAGCGCTGTCCACCCAGGAGCTCTGGTGATCATGGCTGCACGGTTTCAAAGGTGAGGCCGCGCGCATCAAATATGGCGCACATCACATGACTGCAGGACTAGTCCTGGAGGGGGCGTTGCTTGGGGAACGGCAGGAAGGTGGTGGCGGAAGCTGTAGACCTTGTTAGGATGGATAAGGGACTCCATCCAGCCCTGGGGGCACCTGTCTCCCCAACACTCCTTAGCCACAGCAGCATGACCCATGACCAGGACAGTAACAAGAAGAATCCCAAGAACTGCACATCCCTGTTCAAGGGAACACAACGTGCCCAAAACTCCAGGCAGCCTCATTGAGCAGGTCACCTGCGGACAGGCAGCCTGGACGGGAAGAGCAGCTCCAAGCAAGGAGACAAATATTAGTCACGGAGGTAGAGCCCACACCCCCAGGCCATGCGCTCTGTGCTGCCAGGCACACAGTGACCTCCCCCAGGGGATGCATGAAGGGGAAGATCGGAGGGCCACTAAGACCACCTGAACCTTCTGAGCAACGTCCTGAGGCAGCAAGTAGGAAGGGGGGACGGGAGGCAGCCACAGCCTTCCAGGGTGTCCTGCTACAGGTCCACCTGTCTGTGGTCAGTGCAAGACCGCTCCGGAGCTTCGTGTACACCCTGCAAGGAAGCGTACGACTAGGGTCTCCAGGGCTTGGGATCTCCCCCCTACAGCCTCTCAGAGCGGCTCTATGGCTAGCAGGGTCTCGCCCCTGTCCAGACGCTGCCCTAGCCTGTACCCCAGGCCCTGTCCCTGGGTCCAGTGGCTGACTGCTGCGCGGATCCTTCCCTGACTTTGGTGGTGGTGGTTATGTGCGGTGGAACGGTTCCGACTCATAGCGACCCTGTACAGGGTTTCCAAGGCTGTAGATCTTTACAGGAGCAGAAAGCCTCATCTTTCTCCTGCGGAACAGCTGGTAGTTTCGAACTGCTGACCTTGCAGTTCGCAGCCCGATTCGTAACCACTACACTACTAAACTTCGTCTTTCCTACTTTGGACATATTGTCCGGAGGAAACAATCGTTGGAGAAGGATATCATGCTGGGTAAGATGGAGGGTCAGAGAAAAAGAGGAAGACCCCCAACGAGATGGATCAGCCAGGTGGCATCATTGATGGACTCAAGTGTGGCAGCGGTAGTGAGGTTGGCCCAGTATCGGACATTGTTTTGTTTTGCTGTGCATGGGGTCGCTATGAGTCGGTTCCGACTCGATGGCACCTGACAACAACAACAACAACACTATCAGAGACGGTGCCACGCAGTAATTCCATGTCTCGCGGCTTTCAGGGTCCTTTTCAAGAGATCCAATCCCGTGCTGTGGTCCTTGAAAAAAGAAGCACATTGCTCCTCTATACGAGCCTCCTCCCATAATAATAATGCTAAGATCGCCTCGCCACAGAAGAGGGTGAAAAGGGGGCGGTAACTGAGATTGGCCCACCTCCGCGCACTCAGGCTCCACCCCCTCTTCCCGAGTTCCACACCACGCGCCGGGCGTCGGCTCAGCTCACTGGTCCCGGCTCCGCCCTCTCCACCCGGACCTGAGCAGGCGCGGCTGGGTACGGCTCCACCCCACCCTTTCCTTTCGGCTCTGCGCAGGCGCGGCTCTTCAGCTACCCCACCCCTACACCGGACCCAACTAGGCTCCGCCCCTGTCCTCTTTGCCTAGCCGGGATCTCAGCTCCAGGCCAGCCATGGTGACCCTGGGCCTTTCCAGGGTGGACGACGCCGTGGCCGCCAAGCACCCGGTATGAGAGCCAGCCCGGTCCGTAGGCCTGACCTCAGAGACTGGTCTGAGCTGGGCTGGAAGCTGCGTGTGTTGGGAGAAAGGCGGGGAGGGGGAGGTTGGGTGTCCTGGGTGGGTGTCAAGCCCTGAAGGTGTCTCTAGGATCGGCCCCCTGCCTCCTGGCTTGAGTGTGCCCGATGGAGGGACAGGACGAGGTGGGGCATTGGGAACCTGAGTCCTAACCCTTACACCGCACAGGGCCTCGGGGAGTATGCAGTATGCCAGTCGAGCGCCTTCCTGAAGGGTCTTCTCACCTTTGTCGCAGGTAGGCCAGGTCCAAGTGTCAGGGGCATGGGCACCTGGGTTCCCCCCTGACATCCCAGGAGGTGGCACCAAGTCACCTGCCCGCCAGTGGAGCCTGATTGTTCAGAGATCCGGCTGATGTCCCTCTCCCAATTCGGGCCGCACCCCAGCCCTTGGCAGGCCGTGAGCAGGCTGGCTAACCCATCCTGCTCTTCACAGGCACCGGCACAGCCCTCGGCCTGCAGATGCTCGTCCACCGGAAGTATCCGTACCACTTGAAGTGGACCGTGCTGGTGGCCGTGGGTGGGTACCGGCAGCCGGAGGTGACTGGCTCTTCAGGAGAGGTTGGGTTTCCCTCGGGGTGGAGGGCTATGATTGGGCATCCCTGTCCAGTCATAGTACTTGAGACGACCCACCTCTTACTGCAAAAGTAGCCTCTACTGAGGCCCTCAACCTTCCCGGCCCACCTGCCCACACTTGACCCCCACCTGCCCACACCTGGCCCTACGTGCTCACACCTGCCTACACCTGACCCACACCTGGCCCTACGTGCTCCCACCTGCCCACACCTGACCCCCACCTGCCCAAACCTGGCCCTATGTGCTCACACCTGCCCACACCTGGCCCTACGTGCTCACATCTGCCCACACCTGGCCCTACGTGCTCACACCTGCCCACACCTGGCCCTACGTGCTCACACCTGCCCACACCTGGCCTTGCTTGCTCCCACTGCCTGCACCTGCCCATGCCCCCACTTGTCTTACTTGTTCCCACTGCTTCTCAGTCACAGGTTCAGTGGCCAGCTATGGGGTGACACGGGTGGAGACCCAGAAATGCAGCAACCTCTGGCTCTTCCTGGAGACAGGGCAGTTCCCCAAAGACAAAGGTACAGGGGAGAAGTCCTCGGGGCAGGAGAGGGGAGGCACACCTGAGGCTCCAGTGCTCAGGGATTGAGGCAGCCAAGTTCAGGAGCCCTGGGTTCTACACTAGACAAGGGCCCCCCTCTGGACCCCACCTCCTCACAGCAGGTCAGCAGAAAGAAGACCCAGAGAGGGTGGAGAAGGGTGTGGATAAGGTATCCAGGCCAGGCAGCTGTTGGGTGCACGCTCAGAAGAGGGGCTGAGGGTAGACACCTTGCATCAATCACCAACTGGACTGATTCAAACCCGGGCTCCAATTCCTGCTTTCTTTCTGGTTGTGGTCATTGGTTTTTCCCACAGGAAAATGGGTACAGGGACTCCAGCAACTTTGGGCCATGAGCTCTTAGCTGTCTCCTCTTGCTTCTTACAGATCAGCGCTGCTAGGAGAGACCCAGTGAAGTGCCAAAGATCTGAAGGGAGGGTCCAGGCACACAGTCTGCACTAGAAGGGCTGTCCCTGGGGAGGTGTTAACGTGGTTGACACTGTGAGCCAAGAGTACTGTTATCTATTGCCTGAGTGCCTACCTTATTGGAAGCAGGCCACACCCCAGGGAAATAGCCTTTCAACTGGCCGCTCATAGCAGAATTCATCTTAGAGTTAGTTACATGATATTAGCTCTCATTATTGTGGTAACCACATCTCAGCTGCCAAGCCACTGAGACTCCAGCCCAGTCACGATGAAACAAAACCTTAACTATCACGGTCCACCCCTTGTCAACTTAGCCCCTGTACAGATCTCCTTCAACCATATGCATAATCTCTAAAGAAGGACAACTGTGAAGTCATGAACTTAACATGATACAACTAAAGTGCATATAACCAAAACCGCAATGGCCCCAACTGCCTCTTATATTTCACAGATGAGAAAAGCAAAAATACATATGTATATTCATAACAGTTACAGCCTGGTTTCTGCAACTGGTCACGTGAGCACAGCTGGTATTTAGAACTACCTTCTTCCACTACCCATTCCATATTCCCTTTGCCCTCAGCAGGCATCTCAGCTGGTCATGGTTCTTTGCCTGGTGGGTCTGGGTCATCAATAGTCATGTTGGAATTAGGTTGCCATAGTTTACCATTGGCTTTAATCACAGGGCACGGTGGGAGTAAGAGACATCTCAAAGAATCTCCCAGGTGCCACACACAGTCTGCTTTACCTCCATAAGTAAGGACCATCCAATTTCCCCTAGGTAATCAGAATCAATCACACCACCCAATACAGTAACTCCCTTCTTTACCTCCTAATCCAGAGGCCTGAGAAGTACAGAATGCCCAGGGGGCGTGAGGAGTACAGAATAACCAGGGGACATTCTTAACTTGCAGCTCAATGGAATCACTGCTCAGACTCTAGCTGAGAGTATTCCTCCCTTTGGGATGTAAACCTCCACACCCCCAAAATTTTACAAGTGGGTCACTAGGACAGTGAGTGGGGCCACTTCCAACCCATTTCCACCCTTTGGTTCCTGAACCCGTAAATCCTGGTTATTGGAAAATTAGCACCAGATATTGCATGCTGGTTTAGAGTATATACAACCTCCTGGAGAAGATTGTGAGGTGTTGCAAAAGAGCTGGCATCATCGTTGTGTGTTTAGAAGATCATTCCATCGTTCAGTCCAGCCAGCTGCTTCAGGATGATGAGAAACCTGATCAGACTCGTGAGACCCATGACCCCACTGCTGTGTTTATTTGCTGTGAAGTGGCTCCCGTGAGCTCAGGCAGTGCTGTGTTACCATGATGGTGATTAGGATTCTGTAAGGTCGTGGATGGCAGTTTTCACAGAAGCATTAGGTGCAGGGAAGGAAAATCCAGAGCAAATGTCGCTTCCAGTAAGAACAAAATGCTGCCCTTTCCAGAGACGGTCAGATGTCATCAAACGGCCACCGTTCTCCCTGAGGAATGCCCCATGTGTCAAACTTAGTGTTGGTTTCCGCTGCTGGCCAATCAGGCACTCGGCTGTGGCTGTAGCCAAGTCAGCCTTAATGAGTGGACGTCCATGCTACTGAGCCCATGTGCAGCCTCCATCCCTGCCACCATGGCGCCTTTGAGCAATGACAGGAGGGGCTGGAGAAAGAGCATGGTCAGCTTCCACAAAATGTGTCATCCTATCCACTTGGGTGTTGGAATTCTCCGCTGCCGAGGTCACCTGATGGTGCGCGTTCATGATACACAAATATCTTCACTTTGGAGCCCATTCAGAGAGGTCTAACCACGTACCTCTCCCCGACACCTCCTCGTCACTAATTTTTCAATCATGACCATCACGACCGTCCAGCCAAACTGTTGCCACAGTCCTTGAACCGCACATCTGGCCATTCCGCCTTCAAAGCAAAATGAACAGCCAGATGGACTGCTTGAAGTTCTGCCCACTGGACGGTTTTCCCTTCCCCGCTGTCCTTCAGGGGAGTCCCAGGAAAGGACTGTATGTTGCTGCTGTCCATTCTCAAGTGGTACCTGAAAATTGGGCCGAACCACCTGAAAACCAAGCAGGGATTTGCTTTTTCTCAGTCAACTGATCAAAAAGAACTCCCCATGAGAAGTGTGAGTATTCCAGAACACTTAATTGTACTTCTAAGAAATCTGTACCTAGACCAAGAAGCAGTTGTTCAAACAGAACATGGGAACACTGAATGTTTTAAAATTGGGAAAGGTGTGAGACGGGGTTGTATTCTTTCACCATACTTATTCAACCTGTATGCTGAGCAAATAATACGAGAAGCTGGGTTCTATGAAGAAAAACGTGGCATCAGGATTGGAGGAAGACTCATTAACAACCTGCGATATGCAGATGATACAACCTTGATCGCTGAAAGTGAAGAGGACTTGAAACATTTACTTATGAAGATTAAAGAGCACAGCCTTCGATATGGATTACATCTCAATGTCAAGAAAACAAAAATCCTCACCACTGGACCAATAAACAACATTCTTGTCAATGGAGAAAAGATTGAAGTTGTCAAGGACTTCATTCTTCTTGGATCAACTATCAACACTCGTGGAAGCAGCAGTCAAGAGATCAGACGACGTATTGCATTGGGCAAATCTGCTGCACAGGAACTTTTTAAAGTGTTGAAGAGCAGAGATGTCAGCTTGAGGACTAGAGTGCGCCTGACCCAGGCCATTGTGTTTTCAATAGCCTCATATGGATGCGAAAGCTGGACAGTGAATAAGGAGGATCGTAGAAGAATTGATGCCTTTGAGTTGTGGTGTTGGAGGAGAATACTGAAAGTGCCATGGACTGCCAAAAGAACCAATAGATCTGTTTTGGAAGAGGTGCAGCCAGAGTGCTCCTTGGAGGCCAGGATGGCTAAGCTTCGTCTCTCCTACTTTGGACATATTGTCTGGAGGAAACAATCATTGGAGAAGGATGTCATGCTGGGTAGGGTGGAGGGTCAGAGAAAAAGAGGAAGACCCCCAACGAGATGGATCAGCCAGGTGGCATCATTGATGGACTCAAGTGTGGCAGCGGTGGTGAGGTTGGCCCAGGATCGGACATTGTTTCGTTCTGCTGTGCATGGGGTCGCTATGAGTCGGTTCCGACTTGATGGCACCTGACAACAACTGACAACATGAGGCCATAGGCGTAGTCCGAGGGAAGGTCATGTGACAGAAGTAGAGCCCGTGGACATTTGGGCTACTTCCGCATGCAACTTACATGTGCCTTCAGGTCCTGCTTGAGCCTGGTCTCAGACCTACCACTTCATTTAATGATGGCGTCCATCAGACAACACCCAGTTCACAATGGGTAGCTCAGGTAGCATAGTGACTTGGGGTTCAGTCTCTACAAAGGCCCAGTAACAAACCAAAAGTTGTTTCTCAAAAGGAAAATAGTTTTCTGCAGAAGATGGTAGACCTTTGCTCCAAAACTCTTAAGCATCTGCACTGTGATTCACCAATAGGGGCCTTCCAATGACATCAGACTGCATCGCTATCTGCCATGGACACTTCAAGCCCCATTAGATCAGCTGGGTCACATGGTGCCAGCCACAAAGCAGCTTGCATGGCAGCCTGGACCTGTTGCAGACACTTCCCTTGTGGATACCACTCAAAATTAGCAGCTTTCAAGTCACTTGATAAGTAGGCCAGAGTAACACACCCAAATGAGGGATGTGTGGCCTCCAAAATCCGAATAGGCCCACCAGGCATTGTGCGTCTTTTTTAGTTGTGTGAGGGGCCATATATAACTTACCTTTCACTTTAGTAGGAATATCTACATGCTCCACACCACGTAGCCCCTAAAAATTTCACTGAGGTGGAAGGTACCTGAATCTTTGTTGGGTCAATTTTCCCCCTTGGTACACACAGATGTTTTACCAGTAATTCTAGAGTTATTGATACTTCTTCCTCACTGGATCCAATCACAGTGTCATCAATGTAATGGACCAGTGTGACGTCTTGGGGCAGAGAAAGATCATCAGGCCGCCCGTGAACTAAATGATGACATAGTGCTGGAGAATTGAGCTACCTCTGAGGTGAGACTGTGAAAGTGTATTGTTGGCCTTGCCAGCTGAAAGCAAACTGCTTCTGGTGATTCTTAGAAACTGAAATTGAGAAAGACATTGGCCAGATCAATAGCCACATACCAGGTACCAGGAGATGTATTAATTTGCTCAATCAATGAAGCAACATCTGGAACAGCAGCTGCAATTGAAGTCACCACCTGGATACGTTTATGACAATCCACTGTCATTAACCAAGATCCATCTGGCTTTTTGCACAGGCCAGAGAGGCAGTGAAATGGGGATGTGGTAGGAACCTCCAACCTTCAAGTCCATGATTGCAGCAGTAACCTGTACAGCCCCTCCAGGAAGGTGGTGTGGCTTTGGGTTTGCTATTTTCCTAGGTAGCAGGACTACTACTGGTCTCTGCTTGGTTTTTCCAACCACAATAGCCCTAATTCCACATCTCAGGGCTCCAGTGTGGGGGCTCTGCCAGTTGCTGAGCATGTCTATTCTGATTATGCATTCTGGAACTGGGACAATCACCACAGGATGAATTCAGGAACCCATAAATAACTTGACCTCCACACATCCCCAC